GCGCCTGGGGTGTTTCCCCAGTTGAGCTGCACTACCCTCTCGTACTTGCTGCACGCCTAGTGGGGTGGGGGTGGAGGGGAAGACGGGGGAGCGGGAGGAGTGGAAAGAGTTGGACAATTAGTGGCGTGGTGAGTGGGAGGACTAGCGGGGATGGGAAGAGCGGGTGGGGAGAGCCTGAGGAGTAGGGGGAGTGGTGGGAGTTTGGGGGAGTGGGGGGGGTGAGCATACCCTTATTTACACCTTTTCCCATTCATTTCCCTACTTCTCAAGCCCCCTCACCTCACCCCACCTGCTACCATGCCTCCTCACCCCACCTGCTACCATGCCCCCTCACCCCACCTGCTACCATGCCTCCTCACCGTACCTCCTTCCAGAGCTCCTCAGCTTCGGCAGTCCTGCCACGGATCTTGGCTCGGTCGGAAATGGCAATCGCCCAATTGTAGAACGCCTGGGGATTTCAATGGAAGGGGCAAGGGAGGAAGGAGGGAAGGGAGGAGAAAAAGGGGGAGTGGGAACAATGGGACGATGCTCTCTCGCAAATGGCAATGGCCCAGTTGTAGAACGCCTGGTAGGATTTGAATGAAAAGGGACAAGGGACAAAAGAGAAAGGGGGTGATGGGTGGGGTTAAAAACAGGAGGAGAGTGAATCCCCACTCGGAAATGGCAACACCCCTTTGTTTGCCTCACCACGTGCATCATTCTGTCTGCCTTCCCTCTCTGTGCTCTCCTCACTTCATGCAACCCCCCTCACCTCGTGCAGCGTGCCCGTCTCACCTCATGCAGCGTGCCACACAGCACACTGGCCGCCTGGTACTTGCGGCACGCCTCCTCCAGCAGAGCGTCCTTCCCCTGCAGCCCCGCCTCGGGTCCGCTGTTGTCCGCACTCTCCTGCAGCACCAACGCCCAGTTGTAGAGCGCGTCATAGTCCCGTGGATTACGCTCGACCGCTGTCTGGTAGCTGTGTGTGGGGGGAAAGAGTGGGTTGGACATGTGGGAATGTGACATGCATGGCTGTTGTCCGCACTCTCCTGCAGCACCAGCGCCCAGCAGTAGAGCGCGTCGTAGTCCCTCGGATTGCGCTCCACTGCCGTCTTGTATCTGAAAGGGCAGATGGGTGGGTTTTTAGACGTCTTAAAACATGGTATCTGAAAGGGCAGATGGGTGGGTTTTTAGACGTCTTAAAACATGGTATCTGAAAGGGCAGATGGGTGGGTTTTTAGACGTCTTAAAACATGGTATCTGAAAGGGCAGATGGGTGGGTTTTTAGACGTCTTAAAACATGGTATCTGAAAGGGCAGATGGGTGGGACGTGAGAGGTGGGGACGTGAGAGGTGGAAACGTGTGTGACATGTGTGTGACGGCTTCTCACTCCACTCTCCTGCAGCACCAGCGCCCAGTTGTACAGCGTGTCGTAGTCATGGGGGTTATGCTCGGCCGCTGTTTGGTACCTGTGAGCATGTCACATGTGTGCGTGGGGGGTGTGACATGTATGTGTTCAGTCAGCTCTCCCTCAGTCCAGCTCCCTCACTTCCCCTTCTCCCTCTTCTCGCGTTCACACCGTTTAGCGGCGAACGCGAGTATGCGAGCGCGCGAGCGGCCTTCCTCTTCGCCAGACCTCCCTCTCACCCTTACTCGCTCTCATCCTGCCTCTCTCCGCCCGTCTCAACCTCCCTCCCCCGCGCACCGTTTAGCAGCAAATGCGAGGATGCGAGCGCGCGAGCGCCCTTCCTCCTCCCCCGTCGCGATGCTGTACAGCACGTCCCCCACGATGCTCCCGCCGATCATCGTGTGCCCCCCGCCCCCCGCCGCCGCCCCCTCGCCGCCATCCCCGCGCGGAGTCCCCTCCTCCGCCTGACCCCCTTCGTCTGTCGAATTGGCGTTCTTATCCGAACTGGCTTCCCCTGATTGGTTGCTGCCTCCATCCATTGCCCCTCCCGTTCCCCCTCCTCCTGCAACCCCGTTTGCTGCTTCCGTCGCAGCGGCCTTCGTCTCTGCGCTTGCTGCAGCCAACACCGCTTCCCCCTTACTTCTGCACAAGTAGCCGGTTGTAAAAAAGGTGTGGGAGGATAGGTGACGGATTATGCGGCCGAACGCCAGAAAGGAGAGCTCGAGTGATCCTCTGGCAGTTCAATCCAAAGGGTCAAAATAGGATTATGCAGTTAGTCTCTTAGCCAAGAGGATCCGTCACCTAGCCAATGAAATCCTCCTGGCATGTTGGTCTCACATCGCAACCTGCAGCTAGGGAAATGTTATCCCGCCGGGAAGGGCAACTAAATCGTAACATCAAGGCGTACGCTTCGCTCGCGGATCCTAACGCGTACGCTTCGTTAGAAGCAGCGGGGATGGGATCCGCCGATCCTCCTGTGACTACATCCCCTGAGCTGACGGCCGGCATGTCCGATGTCCCGTCATTCCCGGCTGAACTTCCGAGACCATTCGTTTCCGACGCCTTATCTTCCGCGAGCTTCGTGAATACCGCAGGGTCTGTCGCAGCAGCCATGGACAGCGCGTCGGAGAACTAGACTAGACTGGAGAGTGGATGCGGTGAGTGCTTCAATTTCGACTGAAACGTCGGCGAAATAAATCAGAAAGAAGACGATGCGAATGCTGGCACATGAATCCTCCACCGATGCACGGCAGTTACATATCCCAAGAGACTGGTACCTACGACCTTGAAATTGGTGAAGTCGGTTCTAGCTCACCTCGGGGGATCCTAGGTACTGCCGTGTTAGGAAGTGGAATCTAATGAAACACATTGCCACATCCTCGTTAGTAATATCCCGACAAGTTCAAGGCCTGCAGTCGCGTTATTCCATTAGCACCATGTCTTCTTCAGGGCTGCTTTCCAACCTTTCATTTTAGCCATTTTAACCATTGCTTCTCTCTTTGGCACCACGTTTTGGACAACTTGATCAGATGGTACTGCTAGCATTGGAAATATTCATTGGGAAAACAGTTCCACACATGATCCTTGCATGAGTAATTTGTATCTGCCTTTATCATTCTCTTCGTTACCATCAAAGGTTTAAAACATGGTAGAAGCAACCATAGCAATACACTAGCCAGATATAGAGGATGCACACTAACCCTCGTATAGAAGGCATAACATAGTTAGCCCCGGATGATGTGACGTGTAGTGATACGTGACAACGTGCTCGACCTGTTAGCCGATGAAGTGTTTGCGTTATTCCGCTTGCTTTTAATGATTATGGGAAGCCATGTTGATTTCCTCGTACGGTATGTTACGAATGGTAAATTGAGAAAGAACATTGTGCACTCCTTACAGCAGCAAATGAAGCACACAGTACCCGAGGCTGAAGAACGAAGAGTCAGAAATGACTCGAAGCGACGCAAACAGTTGGAGAGCATTTGGACCGTCGGCATCAAACGACATCGGCAGCTGTAGAAGGAAGGAAAAGCACGGGAACAGTTTCGTGACTGTACGAACCGCACGGTTGGGTTTGAATTCGAATAAAGGATTGTACCCGTTAGAGTACTTGGCTAGCTAGGACGTTTAATATTCCCATGTACTCATATTTATACGCATGGATCTGCATGTGAAAATCATCTCAAACATTTTACATTCACTCTGTTTTGAGGTCAAGGGCCCACCACTACCACACTCTGTGCGAACCTTTCCAAGGTGATCCTGGTTACGATCTATTATTGAATCGCAGCATGGCAGATCGTAGAACGATCGCAGGAGGAAATATGGCACGCATCACATCAGACTTGTTTCAAGCACATTCGGTGCAGTTTTCCATTCACTTTTGTTTTCAACTCATAACAGGTTTGGTGATGCTTACACTTGCGCCGTCATGTATTGTACTGGCAATAAGAACGAGTCAGTGTACAGCAACAGGAGCCGGTTGGGCGATCTCCGAATGAGCGTAGATTTTGTTTCGCATAAACATCGCGAGCTCGTTGAGAACTTCCGACCAATAGGAGTGTACGGAGGCCTTTGCTTACCACCTCACCAGGTGGAGCCGCCATCACCGACATTCTCTTCGATTTCCTTCCGACAGCCACGACGACTCGTTTTGGAGTGAACGTGGCGAATTGACGATCAAACGTTCACGCCTGAAGCTGCAGCTGAACGGTTTCTGCGATCAACGAAAACGTTGCGAGATAATACAGTCACCAGTGTACACTTCCCTGTCCTATTTTCGAAAACCCCCTCCAGTCACAACAAAAATATCTCAGCCCGTACAGTGGCGTTCAGCAGAATTTTGGGGCACTTGTCCAATAGAAAGTGCCCAAGGCCAAGCGAAGTCATCAAAATGACGAAGCGCGTGCAGATACAGTGAGTGATTCCACCTAGTGCTGCCACCCTGTCCCTGCGATTTGCAGTTCAACAAAGTTTCATCTGACCGTGATCCATCGATCGAACCATACCATGCGAGAGATTTTAGCGTGCCAAATCTACACTTCTTCATCGTTGCCCCTGCGGCGCGGCCGAACCCTACCCCAGCCCGCTGCCTTGTTGCTCGTTCACCCGCCTCTCTCACCCCCGAAAGCTCCAGTTGTCACTCCCCAATCCCTCTGGCTTCCAGCCTGCTCTCCCTTCGTTGCTTGTTTGCTGCTGATTCTTGCCGAAACTACGGACCTTCCTGGTGTACTTCCTTTCACCACGTAGCCACCGAACTCCAACCATACCGCCATTCGCGCTTGTCGCCCCTCACACTCGTGTCGTGATGCCACTCCACGCAACGTCACAGACCGCTCGCACTTTGGCTGCCCTTTCCAGCCAAAACGGGCGAATCGTCTTCCTGTTTCCCTGCAGCGCGGCATCCGCCGAACAGACATGGGTGCTCCTCCACAGCACTGATCGATGCCCCTTGCCACTCTGTTTCCCATCGTCCGCACCATACGCTAGCCTTGAACCTCCTGGCCTATCAGCAAGAAATATTTTTGTGACCGCATCATTCGTAGGGAAGTGCAAATGATGCGCTGCGCAGGGATTTGAGATTCAGACCCTGTTTGTACCCCGCATAACCACAATGTCGCTGATGCTTGGGCGTTCAATCAGTGTCAACTACTCTTTTACTTCATTGACGTCGTCAGGCTTACAACAGGAGGGGCTACAAGGGCTGTCTATGTCACAGCCATCATAGACCTCCGTACCTGGCATGCGCGACTCTCAGCAAACGCGCGAGTTGCTTCGGGGAAGCTGATCGCCGCATGTTCCCGAGGCCGTAGTTGTAGTCGAGTGACCTCGAAAAAGCATCGGCGTGTTTAAGATATTTAATTCCCAAGACCAGCGGTCATGGAGTCTCAAGACGATGAAAGCCCGTTGTTTTATTCCAACGATGGAATGCTGTCCGCATCAGAGCTCTTCCTGTCGTCACCCGCCGTCGTCGACGGTCTTGAGGGTACTAGTGATGCTGGGACCAGCTTAGCAGGCCCTTTTGACGGCGCTATGGTTACTCCCGAATGGATGCGATGCGACGCCGAACGCCCTGCGGCGACTCTTGGCGACGTGATGAGCGACGCGATGGGCGACGAGCGCGAAGGGGATGCGATTCTCTGCGAGCGACAGCAGTCGCTTGACCCGCTGACAGAGCTGCTGCAGTTTAGCACCGACGCGTTTGACGGCTGCGGGGCCGCGCTGCTACCTGAGAGTATCCCGGAATTTGCTCTCCCGTCTGTTAGAGTGTCTTGCGAAAACATGTCCACTGATGTCTACGTTCCTGCCGTCGCAGCCTGGTCGCACGAAGTCGCAGGGGAGTCGCAGGGAGTTCCGCAAACGAGGGTTAGTACAGACGAGTCGCTGACTGTAGCAGCGGAGGTTGACAATAGTGCAGCAAACAACAGCGCTCTTGACGGCGTCACTCACGGCGCCAAAGACGGGTCACATCTGGGAGAAACAGTGCAGGTTGCGAGATCGAGCCGCAGCCCCTCTGGCGATCATCCAATCATGGGCGACGCGAAGCCTGTTACGGAACGACGCGTGACATTTTCAGATCCATCCACCCCACAGCAGACGGGGACAGCTTCTCGAGTCGGTCTTTCCTCCTCCGCAACTTTCACACCGCTCTCTCTCCCTCCGCCATCCCCGCTCTCCCTCCCCTCTGCGTCCCCCCGACCACTTTCCGCTTCCTCGCCACTCTCTCTTCCCCCTTCCACTCTCCCCTCCACCTCTGTCCCATCCTCATCTCTCCCCCCTCCGTCCCCGCTCTCCCTCCCGTCCTCGTCGTCGCTCCCCCTCCCCTCGCCGTCCGAACTCTCTTTGGCTTCCGCTTCCCCCTATCTTCACTACCGCGGGGTGCGCCAGCGCCCGTGGGGGAAGTGGGCGGCAGAGATTCGAGACTCCGCGAAGAGCGCGCGTGTGTGGTTGGGGACGTACTCCACGGAGGACGAAGCTGCTTTCGCGTACGACGCGGCGGCGCTCGCGATTCGCGGTTCGCGCGCGAGAGTGAACTTCGAAGGGAGTCGCGAATACGCGGCGCAATTCGCGGATGTCTTGGCGAAAAACGGCGGGAAAGTCGATCGACGGCTGCAGATTGCTCTCGGGATCGAGACGATGAGGCTGATTAGGGAAGGCGCGGCGAAACACGTGGCCAGCTTACAGAGCGCCACGTCGGAACTTTGCAGGCCGTTCAGGGGTTTACGGTCGCGGCGGAGGAAAGTGAGTGTTGGGGGGGGAAGCGCGGGGGTTAGTTGCGGCGGCAGCGCGGAGGAGGAGACTGGCAAGGGCATAGGCGGAAGCATGGGGGGAGGCGGAGCTGTGTTGGGGGAAGAGGCAGAGTTGCGGGAGAACGTCTCAGTGGATGTTCCTATGTCGAGCGGTTCGGATCCCAAAGCGGAGACAGGCGGAGAGATGGTGACTGGGGTGGAGGGAGGGAAGGTGCTTCGAGTGGGGGAGGAAGATACGAAGGGAGGGTTGAAACACAAAAAGCAGGAGCATCAACAGCAGCAAATACGGCTTGGGCAGCAGCAGCGTTTGGGGCAGCAAAATCAACTGGGGCAACAACAATCACAGCAGGAGCAACCCCCAGCCCACGCTGCTAAAGTTGAAGCCCAGAGCGATATGATTGGCTTGGGGGAAATCGACCTTCTTTTTGCTGCCCGGGGTGGGCGTAGGAGCAACCAAAGCTGCCCTCCGAACGTTTTCAACGATTGGATGGGAGCAGACGACGAAATGTTCTGGAGTTCCCTAGGGGAAGGCACTGGGGGACCGTTTTCGGGAATGGGGGAGGGGGGAGGCAGCTACACAGGCGGTTGGGGTTCGGACTCCGCTACAGTAACAGCAACTACAGTAACAGCGGGTACAGTAACAGCCAATACAGCCGTTACTGTTGCGATTGACGAAGGGGACACTGCAGGCGTGGGGGAGAGGGGAGTGGTGGTGAGTGGGAGGGGCGAGGGGGAGGGAAATGTTGGAGGAGAGGAGAATGAGAAGAAGGGTGGAGAGGAGGATATGATAGAGTGGATGCTCAATCAGGAGGCGCCTGCAAGCTCTCTCTGCCTCGTTACCCCCACTTCGGCCACGGATAGACCACAGGCTACTCCTACACCTAACACTGTAGCAAGCACTGCAGCAGGCACTGTTGCGGGCACTGGAGCAGGCACTGTAGCAGGTGCTGTAGCAGGCTTTACAAGCACCAATATGCCTGTCTCCATTGCAAGAAGTGGTTCCAACAAGGGACAGATCACTCCCAGTACACTCCCATCTACATCAACCCGGATACAATCTACCAGTGCAGCTGCTCCAAGTGAAGCGCCTTGTAGCGGAACACCAGGACCCGCCGCGTCTGTCTGCCCCACCCCTTCACTGCTGTTACATCTGCCCGACCCCACTCGTGCGGCTGTGAAACGGCCACCAGGGTTTCATTCACACCCACCTGCGGGTTTCAACTTGACAGCAGCAAGCCATGCAGCATCCCCTAAGCCACTGCTGCCATCATCCCCACTTGTGGCATCTCCACTACAAGCAAACTCGTTTCAATTACATCGTCGGCCAGCCGGGCCTTTGTCAGCTGGCCAAGCACCAGCAGCGGCATCAACACCAGCAGCAGCCGCATCAGCAGCAGCCGCCGCAAGGGAACAAGTGTCCACACCTGCACCACAAGCATCAACGGCAGCAACAACTTCAGCGTCAGCACTAGCGCCCCCCCCAGCAGCATCTGCGTACGCAGTGGTGGCTTCAGCAGCAGGTAGAGCTGCCATTTCTGCAATCACACCACCCTCACCAGCAGCAGGGAGCATGCAACAGCCACCCTTAACTTATCAGCAGCAGGGTCACCAGCAGCACCCGCACATGCCTCGTGTGCAGCAGCAACAGCAGCAGCAGCAGCAGCAGCCGCCACAGCAGCAGCACCAGCAGCACCACCAGCAGCAGCAGCCGCCACAACAGCAGCATTACCAGCAGCAGCAGCAGCAGCAGCAGCAGCAGCAGCAGCAGCAGCAGCAGCAGCAGCAGCAGCAGCAGCAGCAGCAGCAGCAGCAGCAGCAGCAGCAGCAGCAGCAGCAGCAGCAGCAGCAGCAGCAGCAGCAGCAGCAGCAGCAGCAGCAGCAGCAGCAGCAGCAGCAGCAGCAGCAGCAGCAGCAGCAGCAGCAGCAGCAGCAGCAGCAGCAGCAGCAGCAGCAGCAGCAGCAGCAGCAGCAGCAGCAGCAGCAGCAGCAGCAGCAGCAGCAGCAGCAGCAGCAGCAGCAGCAGCAGCAGCAGCAGCAGCAGCAGCAGCAGCAGCAGCAGCAGCAGCAGCAGCAGCAGCAGCAGCAGCAGCAGCAGCAGCAGCAGCAGCAGCAGCAGCAGCAGCAGCAGCAGCAGCAGCAGCAGCAGCAGCAGCAGCAGCAGCAACAGCTACAACAACCACTGCAGCAACAGCACACACCTCGTGTGCAACTGCAGCAGCGAGATTCTCCCCATTATCCTCCCAACTATCCTCCCCAAACTACTCTTCATTCTCCCCCCGCCCAACCTCACCACAGCCACCTCCACCATTCATCACCCCACCATCCCCCTCCGAACCCAGCACCACCTCTCACCGGCCAATCAGGCGCCTCCACAGGATGCTGCTGCCAATGTCACTGTCACAAGGCACGCCCTGTCCAATCAGCAACTGCCACATCAGCGCAGGAAACAAGTCCATCATCATATGCTGCCACATCAGCACAGGATATAAGCCCATTGCTTCGAGCTGCCACATCAGGACAGGATTTAAGCCCATTGCTTCGAGCTGCTGCGTCAGCTCAGGATATTCGACCAATTCTGCAGGCTGCCACGTCAGCAGCTGCTGCTTTTTTGCAATTGTCTCAACGGACCATGTCCAACCAATCTGCCGCCGTAGCAGCACCAGCACCACCAGCAATAGCACCAGCAGCAACAACAGCAGTACCACCATCAGGACCAATAGCACCAACACCAGGAGCAACAGCAGCAGCAAAAGCACTGGGAGCAGCACCAGCACCAGCACCCGCATTAGGAGCAACAGCAGAAGCACCTGCAGCTAGCTCAGTAGGAGCAGCAGCAGTAACAGCAGCAGCAGCAGTTCCAGTTTTACCCGACCAGGCTTAACCTACAAAGAGCTGCTGCCAATGCTGCTGCCAACTGCTCTTGTTGCTACATCAGCTGGGTTTCCCTGGTGCTGGTGCTGCTCCTTGTAGTCACTTAAGGCAGCAGTCTTATCCCAGCACCGAAAATCTGTGTGAACACATTTCTAGAAAGGAAGTGCAATAGAAACAAATAGGCTCATTATGAAGCATAGAGAGATAGGGGAGACAGGTAGTTACCAGCTGTCAGATTTTTGCCTGGAGATTACCGGTATATACCGTATTGGGTCCTCTCCTCAATTCAAGAAGCACCGTCCAACAGGTTCTTACAGCTCGCTGCCGCATTCTCGCTCACCCTCCAATCCAATACCAAAACAGCCACGTACGGTATTTTGAAGGAAATAAAGTGTGACCCACATAACTTGATTAATTACCATGCTGACCTCGGGTTTGAAGTGCAGGAAAACACAGTACAGTGATGAAATCACCTACTTATATGGTGGGAAGTCAAGGCCAAGAAACGACGCCGTGCAAGCTGACAGCGGGAGCCTACTACCAGTACCTGACTTTACGGATGCATACAGGACAGGCAACCAGCCAACAATCATTATTGGTGTACTCTTAATAGAGGCAAGCATATTGTGATTATTGCCATCTGGTAACATACTAAAGTCAGAGTGTAGGACCTGCTGTACAGTTCCCGCCTAAAGTTAGCAGTAATACGGGTACAATAAAATCAAGATACCGTATATGGTACTGTAGCTGCCAGGAGCCCCAGGGCACAACAGGCCAGTCCCTTGCTTGTGTGACCATCCGCTGATGAGTCATACGGTAGTATCAAATCAGACCTGCTGTTGCCAGTCCTCTGCTGCAATGTGTGTTAGTGTGTGCAAGTCTTTGACTTGCTTGCCTTTTCAGCTGTTAATGTGCCTCTCTCCAATGTGTTGCACCGCCTGCCACCATGCTGCACCGCCTGCCACCGTGTTTCACCGCCTGCCACCGTGTTTCACTGCCTGTCACCGTGCTGCATCCCACACCACCCCACCCACCCACCCACCCACCCATCCCATCCCATCCCATCCCATTCCATCCCATCCCATCCCATCCCATCCCATCCCATCCCATCCCATCCCATCCCATCCCATCCCATCCCATCCCATCCCATCCCATCCCATCCCATCCCATCCCATCCCATCCCATCCCATCCCATCCCATCCCATCCCATCCCATCCCGACAAAACACCCCTCATAAGAGAAAAACCCTCACCGAACTTGCACCACGCCCACCCAACAACCCACACACCACACCCCTCAAACACCACACCCCTCAAACACCACACCCCTCAAACACCACACCCCTCAAACACCACACCCCTCAAACACCACACCCCTCAAACACCACACCCCTCAAACACCACACCCCTCAAACACCACACCCCTCAAACACCACACCCCTCAAACACCACACCCCTCAAACACCACACCCCTCAAACACCACACCCCTCATACACTCACATCAGACTCATCCGAATCTGATGACCCCTTGCTGCATCAGCACCTGCCTGTCCCGCCCGATACACAATGGCATGCACCCTATCGGCCCAACCATTTCCCCACCCCCTCTCATCCCAACCCCCCCATCCCCCCCCCCCTCTTCCCCACACCCCTCAAACACTCACATCAGACTTATCCGAATCTGATGACCCTTGCCTCATTAGCTCCCGCCTATCCCGCCCGATGCACAACGGCATGCACCCTATCGGCCCCACCATGCCCCCACCCCCTCCGCCGCCCCCTTTTCCCCCATCCCCACCCCCCCCTCGCCTCCTCGCCTGCTTCAACGCCTTGACTGTTGGTTCATCCAGCAGCATGGGCCGGGGGGACTCCACGGCTGCCTCTGCCAGGCGCTCTATCTGCCTCGCCAGCACCTCTGCAATGTTTCTGGGCACTGCATCCACCTGGGTGGGTGGGAGGGTAGGTGGGTGGAGGGGAGGAGCAGGGGAACACAAGGGAACGAAAGGAGCATGTTTCATGTCTGGCGCCTGTTGCATGTTTTGAGACGTCTCGGAACACGCTTTTGAGACGTCTCGGAACACGCTTTTGAGACGTCTCGGAACACGCTTATGAGACGTCTCAAAACACGCTTTTGAGACGTCTCGGAACACAAGGGAACGAAAGGAGCATGTGTCAGGCGCCTGTTGCCTCTCTGCACTGCCTTTTGCCCCTTCTCAGCGGCACTGAGTCGCTTTTGAGAATTCTCAAAGGCGCCTGTTGCCTCTCTGCACTGCCTTTTGCCCCTCTCAGCAGCACTGATCGCCTGCTTGAGCGCCCTGACTGTCGGTTCATCCAGCAGCATGGGCCGGGGGGATTCCACTGCTGCCCCTGCCAGGCGCTCTATCTGCCTCGCCAGCACCTCTGCAATGTCATCGCTCACCCGCATCACAATCATCTACAAAAAAGCCTGTGTTATCAAGGGGCTGTTACCTTGATACCCCACAATGATTACCCCACAATGATTACCTGGTAAGTCAGCCGCCCGGCCAGCCGCCCGTCTCTCAGCGGGCGCAACGACAATCCCAAGGGGAACAGCGCCACTTCGCCGCCCCACCCCCCACCGCCCACACTCCCCCCAAACTCCGCCCCTCCACCCACCCCACCGATCGCACCACCAAAACCACCCGCAGCACCACCAGCAAAAGCAGCACCAGCACCAGTAGCACCAGCTGCACCAAACCCAGCAACAGCAGCAGCAGAAGAGGCTTCTAGATCTAGGTCCCCCACTAGGGAGTCTTCTAGAGGGAGCAGGTTCGGAGGGGAATCGGTGCCGGGGTGTGTGAGGGCGAAGGACGCGAGGGCAAAGGGGGAGGTGAAGGGGTCGGGTGCGGTGGGATGCAGTGCAGAGGCGAGCAGACGGAGGGAGATGGACTGGTGCTGCAGGGCTTGCAGCGTGTGCTCTCGGACCTGGTGGGTGGGAGAGGGGGGGAGAGTTGAGGGGGTGAGGAAAGGAAAATGGAAGAAAGAGCGTTAATTCTCAAGGGAGATGGACTGGTGCTGCAGGGCTTGCAGCGTGTGCTCTCGGACCTGGTGGGTGGGAGAGGGGGGGAGAGTTGAGGGGGGTGAGGAAAGGAAAATGGAAGAAAGAGCGTTAATTCTCAAGGGAGATGGACTGGTGCTGCAGGGCTTGCAGCGTGTGCTCTCGGACCTGGTGGGTGGGAGAGGGGGGGAGAGTTGAGGGGGGTGAGGAAAGGAAAATGGAAGAAAGAGCGTTAATTCTCAAGGGAGATGGACTGGTGCTGCAGGGCTTGCAGCGTGTGCTCTCGGACCTGGTGGGTGGGAGAGGGGGGGAGAGTTGAGGGGGGTGAGGAAAGGAAAATGGAAGAAAGAGCGTTAATTCTCAAGGGAGATGGACTGGTGCTGCAGGGCTTGCAGCGTGTGCTCTCGGACCTGGTGGGTGGGAGAGGGGGGGAGAGTTGAGGGGGGTGAGGAAAGGAAAATGGAAGAAAGAGCGTTAATTCTCAAGGGAGATGGACTGGTGCTGCAGGGCTTGCAGCGTGTGCTCTCGGACCTGGTGGGTGGGAGAGGGGGGGAGAGTTGAGGGGGGTGAGGAAAGGAAAATGGAAGAAAGAGCGTTAATTCTCAAGGGAGATGGACTGGTGCTGCAGGGCTTGCAGCGTGTGCTCTCGGACCTGGTGGGTGGGAGAGGGGGGGATAGTTGAGGGGGGTGAGGAAAGGAAAATGGAAGAAAGAGCGTTAATTCTCAAGGGAGATGGACTGGTGCTGCAGGGCTTGCAGCGTGTGCTCTCGGACCTGGTGGGTGGGAGAGGGGGGGAGAGTTGAGGGGGGTGAGGAAAGGAAAATGGAAGAAAGAGCGTTAATTCTCAAGGGAGATGGACTGGTGCTGCAGGGCTTGCAGCGTGTGCTCTCGGACCTGGTGGGTGGGAGAGGGGGGGGAGAGTTGAGGGGGGTGAGGAAAGGAAAATGGAAGAAAGAGCGTTAATTCTCAAGGGAGATGGACTGGTGCTGCAGGGCTTGCAGCGTGTGCTCTCGGACCTGGTGGGTGGGAGAGGGGGGGAGAGTTGAGGGGGGTGAGGAAAGGAAAATGGAAGAAAGAGCGTTAATTCTCAAGGGAGATGGACTGGTGCTGCAGGGCTTGCAGCGTGTGCTCTCGGACCTGGTGGGTGGGAGAGGAGGGGATAGTTGAGGGGGGTGAGGAAAGGAAAATGGAAGAAAGAGCGTTAATTCTCAAGGGAGATGGACTGGTGCTGCAGGGCTTGCAGCGTGTGCTCTCGGACCTGGTGGGTGGGAGAGGGGGGGAGAGTTGAGGGGGGTGAGGAAAGGAAAATGGAAGAAAGAGCGTTAATTCTCAAGGGAGATGGACTGGTGCTGCAGGGCTTGCAGCGTGTGCTCTCGGACCTGGTGGGTGGGAGAGGGGGGGAGAGTTGAGGGGGGTGAGGAAAGGAAAATGGAAGAAAGAGCGTTAATTCTCAAGGGAGATGGACTGGTGCTGCAGGGCTTGCAGCGTGTGCTCTCGGACCTGGTGGGTGGGAGAGGGGGGGAGAGTTGAGGGGGGTGAGGAAAGGAAAATGGAAGAAAGAGCGTTAATTCTCAAGGGAGATGGACTGGTGCTGCAGGGCTTGCAGCGTGTGCTCTCGGACCTGGTGGGTGGGAGAGGGGGGGATAGTTGAGGGGGGTGAGGAAAGGAAAATGGAAGAAAGAGCGTTAATTCTCAAGGGAGATGGACTGGTGCTGCAGGGCTTGCAGCGTGTGCTCTCGGACCTGGTGGGTGGGAGAGGGGGGGAGAGTTGAGGGGGGTGAGGAAAGGAAAATGGAAGAAAGAGCGTTAATTCTCAAGGGAGATGGACTGGTGCTGCAGGGCTTGCAGCGTGTGCTCTCGGACCTGGTGGGTGGGAGAGGGGGGGTGAGTTGAGGGGGGTGAGGAAAGGAAAATGGAAGAAAGAGCGTTAATTCTCAAGGGAGATGGACTGGTGCTGCAGGGCTTGCAGCGTGTGCTCTCGGACCTGGTGGGTGGGAGAGGGGGGGAGAGTTGAGGGGGGTGAGGAAAGGAAAATGGAAGAAAGAGCGTTAATTCTCAAGGGAGATGGACTGGTGCTGCAGGGCTTGCAGCGTGTGCTCTCGGACCTGGTGGGTGGGGGAGGGGGGAGGGGGGAGGGTGAGGAAAGGAGAATGGAGAAGACGAGCATATGTTCTAAAGGGAGATGGACTGGTGCTGCAGCGCCGCGCCTGCAGTGTGTGCTCTCGGACCTGGGGGTGGGGCGAAGGGGGGGAGTGAGGAAGGGAGAATGGAAGGAAACAGCATGAATGAGTGACGAACGGATGAGCGGCTTTCAAAACTTCTCATCTCAAAAATCGAGTAGATGAGAGAGGGAGGCACTACTTGGAATAGCAGTTGTTCGAAGGACACTCCCTCTGCCATGCACTGGTCGTTGCACACCCACTGCTTCCACAGCATGAGGGGAAGCAGCTATTTATGTTTTCTTCTTGGACTTGGGGTGAATGGGCGAAACGAGTTACACACCTGGAATAGCAGCTGTTCAAACGACACACCTGGAATAGCAGCTGTTCAAACGACACACCTGGAATAGCAGCTGTTCAAACGACACACCTGGAATAGCAGCTGTTCAAACGACACACCTGGAATAGCAGCTGTTCAAACGACACACCTGGAATAGCAGCTGTTCAAACGACACACCTGGAATAGCAGCTGTTCAAACGACACACCTGGAATAGCAGCTGTTCAAACGACACACCTGGAATAGCAGCTGTTCAAACGACACACCTGGAATAGCAGCTGTTCAAACGACACACCTGGAATAGCAGCTGTTCAAACGACACACCTGGAATAGCAGCTGTTCAAACGACACACCTGGAATAGCAGCTGTTCAAACGACACACCTGGAATAGCAGCTGTTCAAACGACACACCTGGAATAGCAGCTGTTCAAACGACACACCTGGAATAGCAGCTGTTCAAACGACACACCTGGAATAGCAGCTGTTCAAACGACACACCTGGAATAGCAGCTGTTCAAACGACACACCTGGAATAGCAGCTGTTCAAACGACACACCTGGAATAGCAGCTGTTCAAACGACACACCTGGAATAGCAGCTGTTCAAACGACACACCTGGAATAGCAGCTGTTCAAACGACACACCTGGAATAGCAGCTGTTCAAACGACACACCTGGAATAGCAGCTGTTCAAACGACACACCTGGAATAGCAGCTGTTCAAACGACACACCTGGAATAGCAGCTGTTCAAACGACACACCTGGAATAGCAGCTGTTCAAACGACACACCTGGAATAGCAGCTGTTCAAACGACACACCTGGAATAGCAGCTGTTCAAACGACACACCTGGAATAGCAGCTGTTCAAACGACACACCTGGAATAGCAGCTGTTCAAACGACACACCTGGAATAGCAGCTGTTCAAACGACACACCTGGAATAGCAGCTGTTCAAACGACACACCTGGAATAGCAGCTGTTCAAACGACACACCTGGAATAGCAGCTGTTCAAACGACACACCTGGAATAGCAGCTGTTCAAACGACACACCTGGAATAGCAGCTGTTCAAACGACACACCTGGAATAGCAGCTGTTCAAACGACACACCTGGAATAGCAGCTGTTCAAACGACACACCTGGAATAGCAGCTGTTCAAACGACACACCTGGAATAGCAGCTGTTCAAACGACACACCCTCTGCCATCCACTGGTCGTTGCAGATCTCCCCCCCTCCTTTCCCTCCTCCCATCACTCCCCCCTTCCCTCCTCCTCCCCCCTCCGCTCCTTTCCCCTTGACCCCTCCAGCCTGCTTCCTTTGCACCAACCCACTCCCCCCACTCCCCCCACCAGGCCGATTCTCCTCCCCACGCCTCCCCCCCTTCCCTGCGGCAACAGCAGCCGCAGCGAGTGAAAGCACGTCAGTGCCAACCCCCACACCCCCACTCCCCTGAACAAACTCCTGCCCCTGCTGCCCCTGCTTCGTCCCATCAGCATCAGCAGCCGCGATTTGCCTCAGAGCAGCAGCAGCATCAGCAGGCGCACCAGTCACACCAGTCCCAGCAGCCACAGTTGATACAGAAGCAGGAGCAGGGGAGGAGCGAGGGGAGGGTAGGGGCGGCGAGTCAGCATCCCCAATAGCATGCACCTCGCTGGGAAGACACAGCTTCCTCCCCGCTCCCCCTCCCATCCCACCTCCGCCTCCCCCTCCTGCCGCTCCCGCTCCTCCCCTCCTTCCATCCCCCTTCCTCCCATGCATCCCAGGGCGTAAGCAACTAGCGGCACCACCAGCAGCACTTATTCTCTCCGCTGTCGAAGCTGCCCCGTCTTCCCTGTCGTCCCCACTACTGCAGTATCCTCCACCGCCTCCCTCCACTCCCGCTCCTGCTCCCCTACCCCCTGCCGACTTGGGCCTATCCCCGTCTCCCTTTCCGGAGCTCCGGCCTCCGTGGCTGGAGGGTTGGAAGCCCGAACCTGGCCCAACAACTCCCCCAGCAGCAGCGGCAGTGGAGGCAGAGAGGCGAGGCGAGAGCACGGAGTACTGGCGGGAAGTAGAGGGAGACACGCATCGGGACGACACACACGACGACGCCCGGCTGATCGACGAAGTGAAAGATCTCAGCCGTCCAGCCACTACCAATGGAGGGCTCAGATGCTTCCTCATATCCGTCACCACTGGCAGCACATCCGAGAACCGCCCGATCACTGACTGGAGCGGCAGGATTTGTCTCCTAGCGACTGGGACGGCGATCGCGACGGAGTGCTGGTGGGTCCAGAGGTGTAGCAAGGCGTGCAGAACGGTTTGGAGGGCCATGGAGAGGGTGGCGCCGCGGTGAAAGGCGTAGGTCTCGAGCCGCCTCCGAGTGCTCGCTGCTATCAGCACCTCCACATGCCCTTTCCGCAGCGCCAAGGCCAACCCTCCTGCCGCCACTGCCGCCGCCGCCGCTGCTGCTCCTGCTCCTCCTGCTCCTTTCCCTCCTGCTCCTGCTACTGCTGTTGCTCGGCCTCCTCTGCCTGCTCTTCCCACTCCTTCGCTCCCGCTTTCATCTACCTTGGGTTGCAGCTGGGGAGGTAGTTTTGGGGGAGGTACACCCACTGCTTGCTTCCAGAACCCCAGGTCCCACTCCCTGTGCCCAGCACACGCCAGATTGTCCTTTTCCCACAGGACGAAATCCGCGTAGCTGGCGACTGCGGGGAGGTCAGCCGCCGAGCCGCCCGCCTTGTAAATCTAGAGGGGAGGAGTGCAACAGAAAACGGTGTCGGTTTAGCAAGCATACAAAACCAACAGGAGACGTCTCACATATATGGAAAGGAGACTCCTTTGGATTTGCAGAGTTTTCCTTATTCTTCTTTCTTTGTTAGTCAATTTACAGAGCTGCAACCCTGGAGGAGGTCAGAGAAGAAGAGGGAGGAGGAGACACCGTCAAAGATGAGAGGGTTCCACACGAGCACGAGAGAGTGCTCCGTGGCGCTAAGTCGGATGACCATCAAAGCAACATAGGCTGTGAGGAGGGTACCTGGAGGAGATCAGAGTAGAACAGAGATGAAGACACGCCATCGAAGATGAGAGGGTTCCACACGAGCACGAGAGAGTGCTCCGTGGCGCTCAGCCTAATCAGCGTCGCTCGGAACAAGCTCTCCCCTTCCCCTGCTGTGCCTCCTGCTGCTGCTGCTGTCGCTGTTTCTCCAGCCTTGCTGCCACTGCCAGCTGCCGCCGCTGCTGCTGCAGCTGCTGCTGCTGCTCCGCCTCCTCCTTTTCCTGCTAACAGCCCAGCCTCTGCTGCACCCATCCCTCCTCCTCCCCCACTCGCTCCCAACCCCACCATGCTACCCGCGCTCCCTCCATCCCCCCCGCCCGCCCCACTCCCCCCCATCACCAGCTGAACCGCCGCCTCCTCCGGTGTCCTCAGGCAAAACGGCCGTCTCGCCTCCGCAATTATCCCCGCTATAAGCTTGTTTCGTTTGGAGTACTTCGCGCCTGAGATATCCACCAAAGCGAGCTTAAAAGAAGGCCCGTGGGTGGGATGCGTGTGGATCTGCGTGACACATTCCAAAACACTCTCTGCTGTCTTCCAGAAGCTGGGAGCAAAGAGGCTCGGAGCAAACAGCCCTGCTAGAGCCCGATAAACAAACCCTCCTCCTCCCTTGCTCTCTCCACCACCTCCCACTGCTACACTCGCTCTTTCTCCTCCCCCTGCTCCGGATCTTCCCCCGCTTCCTCCTCCTGCTCTTCCTGCTCCTGCTGCTCCTGCCGCTCCTCTCCCTGCTTCCCTCCTGCCCTTGGCGTTTCCAGAAGCGCCAGCAGCAGCAACGGCACTCAGCTCAGTCCTTAAGGAGTCGATAGCTGCATCCATCACAGCCGCTTTCAACCGCACTGAACTGCTGCTGCTGCTGCCACCGCCCCTGCCGCCACCGCCACTGGCACCACCACCACGCCCGGACTGCTTGTGCTTGCTGTTGCGCCAGACAACGAAGCGGGAGCGCAGAGCTGCGTGGCGCATCACCAGTGCTTGCAGCGACCGCTGCAGACGAGGGAAATTCACCGGCCCCTGTGAAATGGGAGAGGACGGACGGAGGCAGGGTGGGAAGCAAGGAGGAAAAAAAAAAATCGTTTCTTGAGTCTACTCAAAAAGCATCACGCAATTACATGGGCTTGTGCTTGCTGCTGTCACGCACACAAACATGCTCTCACCTGCAGGCGCCACACATGGCACTCGTCCAGCAGCTGAGGGTGCGGCAGAGCCTGGTACGCCACCCACAGCAGCACCTGCTGGTAAAAAACTGGCACTTTTCTAGTGTCAACTGAATATCACCTGCAGGTCCCATCTGCTCTCTCTCACCTGCAGGCGCCACACATGGCACTCGTCCAGCAGTTGTGGGTGCGGCAGAGCATGATACGCCACCCACAGCAGCACCTGCGCCTCTGACAGCGCCACCCCCACCACTCCGCCCGCCCCACCCCCCTCACTTGCCCCACCAGCCGCAGAACCAGCAGTAACAGCAGCAGCACTGCCAGAACCAGCAGCAGCAGCAGCAGCAGCAGCGGCTGAAGGGAAGGGTGCCAGGCGCAGCAGTCTCTCTCCCAAACCTGCCTGCCCCTCCTCCTCCCCGTCACTGTCCTTTGACCCTTCATCCAAGCCCAATCCCAATCCCCCACCACCAGAACCAGCAGCAGCGGCAGCCGCAGCAGAAGCGGCAGCGGCAGCAGCTGCAGTAGCGGCGCGGTGCAGGGCGGCAGCAAGGCCCATGACAGTGGGCGCACTGAACATGTCCCTCAGAGTCAGCCCTGCCCTGTAATACTCTGCCCTTGCTCCTCCCACTACAACTTCTGCTGCTTCACCCACGCTCCCACTGCTGCCTTTGCCCCCACTCTTTCCCCTCTTCTTTTCCCCCTCCCCTCGTCCACCTCCCTTTCCTTGCAACCTACCAGCATTACAACCACCAGCAGCACCACCAGCAGCAGCAGCTGCTGTAGCACCACTGCTGCCATCCCCCCCGTTGCTCCCACCCTCCTTAACAGAACTCTCGATAGAATCAACCAGCCTCGCAACCACCTGTGCTGCCAGATACGAGTTCCCACCCAGCTCAAAAAAGTTTGAATTTCTCCGCAACCTGCCCGCTTCAACCCCGGGCAGCACCTCCGCAAAAATTACCGCCACTGCCCGCTCCTCCGCCGTCTCTAGCGGCTCTCCGCCGCCCGCTCCCAACCCAGTGCCGCCCACAGACCCGTCCTCGTCACAAGAGACAAAAAACGAGTCCGCGGGCGGCAGAGGGAGGCGGGAGCGGTCGGCCTTGCCTGTCTTGGTCCAGGGGAGATGGTGAATCACATGGATGGCTGAGGGAACGGCGTGAGGAGGGAGGGTAGACCTAAAATACTCTCGGACCTTCTTGGGAATCACTGCTGCTAACTGCTGTGACGCCAGTAACTGCTGAGCTGGAGTCTGCACCCCCTTCCCCCCGCCTTTCCCCGCCCCTTTCCCCGTCCCTGCCCCTGCCCCTGCTTCCCCCCCAGCCCCTCCCCCCAACCCTGCCTCTCCTGCAGCCGCCACAGCAGCAGCAGCTGCTGCAAGCGACGGCTTGAGCAGCAGGTACGCAGCGAGATAAGGCTGTCGCCCAGGGTCATGCGCCCTGAACGCCACCACACAGCGGGCCACCCCGTCCACCTTACTCCCCGCCTCCTCTATTTGCACCGGCTCCACACTTAGCCCTCTGATATACACCTGCTGCTCTAACCTCCCCAGAAACTGCACGCACCCGTCTGGTAACCACCTGCCTCGGTCCCCCGTGCGGAGCAGCTTCCGGTCGTGCACTCCCATGCCGTACGGGTTGCTCACGAACCTCTGCCGCGTCTCCCCGTGCCTCTTCCAATACCCTCTTGCCACGTGTATCCCTGCAATGCACACCTCGCCGCCCGCGCCAATCGGGAGGAGCTCTAGGTTCGGGCCGAGAATGTACACGTGGACACCTGGGAGTGGCCGGCCGATTGTGTCCGCCACCCTGTCGCCAGGCCGCCAGACTGCACACGTGGCAGCTAGGGAGCACTCCACAGCTCCGTAAATATCTACCACCACACGTCCGGCCCGAAGCCAGCGCCAAACCAGAGCTCTAGGTACGGGCTCGCCTGAGAAGGCCACCCAGCGCAGGCTCGGGAGCGACCGAGGCTCCAACCACATCGCGACACTTGGCAGTGTAAGCAGCCCTGACACGCCAAGGAGGGAAGCTTCTGAGGAAAGTTCTGCACAGGCCTGTGCGTGCACCACAGCAGACTCATGAGCACCAGCAGCAGCAGTAGTAAGAGCTCCTGCTCCTCCTCCTCCTGCTCCTCCTGCTCCGCTATAAGCAAATTCGTTATAAGCAGTAGCACTGGAAGAAAATGGTTCGAGAGGGGAAGGACAGATGGCAGCAGCGGCGCCGACATCAAAGGCGGTGAAGAGCTCAAAGAGGTGCGCGGGCAGATGGGCAGGAGAGATCTGCGCCCTCACATCCACAGGGGGGGCCGCTCCCGCTGTAGCAGCCGCCGCCGCTGTAGCCGCCGCTACAGCCGCTGCAGCAGTAGCAGCTGTAGCACCTGTAGCCGCAGTAGCAGGCGCAGCAGTGGCAGAAGCAGGATTCGCATTCGCAGCAGCAGCAGCAGCAGCGGCAGCAGCATGTTCAGCAGGCAGTCGGTGTCTAAAGCAGTGTACCATGTTAACCACTCCCTGATGCTGTAACACCACGCCCCACACGCGCCCCAGCTCATCCTCTCTATACACCACACAGCACGTGCCACTCGCTCTTGGCCTCAACCCCACTAGAACATCCAACCCCACACTCCCTGCACTCACACCTGCACTCATCCCCCCACCAGCCCCAGCCCCTCCCCCTCCCCCTCCCGCTCCTGCTTCCCTGCCAGTCATCCCCTCATCTCCAGGCCCCCAGTCCCCCAGCAACGCTCGCTCCGCCCTCTCCTCCTCCACCTCCCCTTCTATCACCTCCTCTACTGCCCACACAGGCAGCGCCCTCCCCAACCGCCCCTCCCCTGAAATATTACTGCTGTGATTACCGTCAGCAGCACCCATGCTGCTGCTGCTGGGGAAGAAAATCGTCACTCCGGTCCTCCTGTCACTGACTCTACTACTGTCGCTCACTCCCGCCTCTCCTCTTGATTCTGCCTTTCCTGAGCTTCCCGAGCTTCCTGCCCGTTTGTGCTTCAACAGGTGGTGCCGCCGCCGCCGCTCCTGCTGCTGCTGATCCTGCTCCTGATCCTGATCCTGACCTACCTCCTCTGCCCCTCCCTGATTGGCCACTCGCGGACTGGATGCTGACGTGGCGGCAGCGCCACGCGGCGAGCGGGGAGTCATCCACGTCAGCGCGTCCGCCAGGTGGCGCGACGTGAGAACAAGCATGATCCCCGACTCCTCCACAATCTCCTCCAGCTTGCCACGTGGCAGGAAGGGATCTAGAGGCACATACGCCCGCCCAGCCATCATGATTCCAAGAATAGCTGCTACCCAATCCACCCCCCTCTCCATACACACCCCCACTAGCTGCACCTCAGGTCTAGCCCGGCTTGCCCCCACTGCTGCTGCTGCCGCTGCCGCTATGTTCGCTCCTGCTCCTCCCCCTCCTCCTGCTGCTGGTGGTGCTGCAACGGTTGGGGATCCTACAGAAACATTCGTGCCAGCTGCGGCAGCAGAGGAGGCGGCCTTAGGGGTGGCGGCAGGGGTGCTGTGGCTGCTACCGCGGTGCGAGGCCGGGATGAGAGCAGGGCGAGGAAGCTTCTTGGCGACAAACTTCGCGATCAGCAGGGCACGGGCGTGCAGCTGCATGTACGAAACCGCCTCTCTCACCACCTTCGTCCCTTCCACCCCTCCTCCTGCTGCTCCTCCCACTCCCAATCCCATTCCCCTTTCTCCTCCCCCTGCGGTCCCTCCCCACGTGCCTCCGCGTCCTCTTCCCCGGTGCAGCAGCAGCAGAGCCGTGGCAGCAGGGTTAACCTTCACCTGCCGTTCAAACAGATCCACCAGGGTGCGATCACGTACATTCAACCCCCGGCCCCTGCTCCTCGCCCCCCTGCCCACACTCCCTGGCGCTGCATCTGACAGATCTGTAACCGTGTCAAACCCCGATGTTACCACACTGCCCGCTGCCCCTGCTCCCCCTCCGCCTCCGCCTGCCCTTGTTCCGCCTGCTGCCCCCCCCGCTCTTTCTCTGGCGCTAGATCCTACCACAGACTGGGTGGCGGACGAGGCTGCACCAGGGGAGGGAGGAGGGGGAGGGAGGGATGCAGCAAGACCTGTAGCTGCAGCGCCTGTAGTGGCAGCACCTGTAGCAGCAGCATCACCTGTTACAATCCCTCCTCCTCCTCCTAATGCTACTCCTCCCCCTCCTGCTGCTAATACTCCCGCTGTTAATGCTCCTGCTGCTCCCTCTACTACCCTCCCTTCAGTATTATCACCCGCTGCAACAATCACCCCATCTCCTCCCCTCTCCCCCCCACCTTCCCCACCCTCTCCCTTCCCCTCCTCTTGCCTCTTCTTCCTCCTCAGCCTATCCTTCTCCCTCAACTTATCCCTACCACCTCTCCCCACCCCTCTCCCATCCCTATACCCCCCAACATCTAGCAAAAGCTTCCTTCCTTCTTCCTCCTCATGCCAAAACGCGTGCGGCACGAGCCGCCCGGAAAACTTGTCCTCTAGCTGCTCCCTCTCCGCGTCGGTCAGCACGGGCAGGTAATAAATCGGCAGCGCCTCGATCGACGGCAGAGATGCAATCCGCTCCACCAAAAAGCAAAAATTCGCGCTCAGCCTCGCAACCGTAGATTCATCGTATTTAGACACATCATACCGCCATCGAATCAGCACTGCTTTCTTTTTCGACCCAGGGACAAACAACCCGGCAAGCCCGCACGACGGAATATCCTCCCCTTCCTCTTCAATCGTCTGCCTGTCAATCCCATACGCGAAATACTTGAAAAAAGCCGGGAAGCCTTTCGCCACTGCAGCTGCACTAGCAGCAGCCACCCTGCTCCGAGCTGTTGACGCTGATCTAGCCGTCCCCCGCCCCACACTCTCTCTATCCACATCAGACATTCCATCCCCTGACACGCCCCTCCCCCCCGCCCGCACACTCCGCACCTCCCCCGGCCCCCCACCTAACGACCTGGCTAGACTCCCGCTGTGGTCTCTAGTAGGGTTATCCAACCCACCGCTGTGCCCTACCCCAGATGCGCCTCCTCCCTCCTCCGCGCTCCCCACGGCTTCAAACAGCCGCGATCCCACGTGGGCCAACATCTCAAGGAGCGTCACGTCTCTGTCGGAACGCCCCGTCCCAGATGCACCTCCCCCAGATACACCTCCCCCAGATACACCTCCCCCAGAAACGCCCACCCCGGATGCGCCCGCCCCTGCCACGGTTCCCGGGTCCGATCTGAGGCTGTGCTGCTTCGCCAGCCCCATCGACGGTAGTCCCGCCGCCCCCAGACTGCCCTGGCGCGGAACTGCGCCTGGGGGCGCAGCAGCAGGGGGGAGCGCGGAAGGGGGGAGAAGATTGTCCGCCTGCGGGGCGCGTGCAGGCAGATTATCCATTTCAACGTTCACCACGAGTAGTTGATCCTCATCCTCCTCTCCTACGGCGGAAAAACTCGTTATAGAGCTCATCGCGTCCGATATAGTGTCGTGAAACAGCCCGTTGGCGCGCCAGCTAACCCTAAGATCTTGCCCCGACGGCGGCGCGTCGTACAGCTTTCCCCCCTGCCACAGCCGCAGCAGCCCGCCCCCCGCGGGCTTCGCGGAAGCTGCTCCTGCGCCTGCGCCTGCTGCTACGGGTTTCGCCCCGCCCCCAGCCATTGCGCCAACCATGGTGGAGAGAAGACCCGTGGCTAATCCGCCTGGCCGCATTCCCTGGGGGATGGCTCCGCCCTTGCCTGCTCCCACGCCCGCGCCCGGCCCTGCAGATGACTGGTACGCCGCGCGCGCCGCCGCTGCTAGCGCTCCTCCCGGTGGAGCTCCTCCGCCTCCGCCCCCGCCGCCGCCGCCGATTGCGGACAGTCGTGTGGCCTGGCGCGACGACTCGAACTCGGAATCGGAGTACTCACTGTCGGAGAAAAGCGACTGGCGGTGGCCGCCGCCTCCCCCTCCCCCTCCCCCTCCGCCTCCCCCGCCCTTGTGCGCTTCCGCTGGTGGTGGCTCATCGTCCGCGTCTTCCGCCTGCAGTATGTACCACCCGAACGACACTCCCACGGGGAAATCCCTCCGTCTGGGGTTGTATCGGTGCAGAGTGGTGCAGAAGGCTGTGAGGAGAAGCAGAGGGATGGGAGCTCCCCATGGGAGGCCGGTCAGGGGACCCCATGCCATCCCCACGCGCTCGAGCTTTTCGATCGTCGCCGCATCGATTAGACCTGGAACCCATGCGTACTCCTCTGATTGCTCCGGCCGGCCCGGAATAGCCGGCTGACGGGTAGTTGACGGCGGAAGAATTTCCATAACTGAACCGTCAATCGGAAAGTTCAGATACTACGGCGTACGATTGTACAGCCGTCCGGTGATGCTAAGTCGGGAAGAAGCAAGTCAGCTGCTGCCTAAGCGGTTCGCGAGGAGAGGAATTGGAACGAGTCATTAGCGAAACGAACACTGGAGCGAGCGTCATGGGTTAACCTGGAACTAACTAGGGAAACAACTGTTTGTCGCGGAGAAAAGAGCTCGCACGGAAGTGACCTGCGACTTGGATACGTTATCTTCGCGAGATTAACAGCCGCAGGGTATGAACGGTACCCTAATCGAGCACAATCTAGGCATATACGGATCCTGTTGCGTGTAAAATCAAGGCTGTCGGTGGGAGCTATAAAGAACTGACGTTGCGGTACTACTGCTGCTCGTAGAATACAGCCTTGAAAATACCCGCAACCCCCACCAAACCTCGCTCCAAGGAACCCTAGAAATTTGGAAAAAGCACGATGAAAATGGGTGGCTTGGCAACCCTCGTCAGAGCATGTCGGCGAGGCGTGGCGACGCTGACGAAGACGTCGTGGTCATGGAAATTTGAGGTGGAAGTGGGTGTGGCGAGGGGGTTTTGTGTAACAGTTGTATCGCGCGATTGACACCCAGCGCACGACTCGTGGTAAAGTGTGGTTCGTCAAGCCGTGGACAGTGTTGGCTCTGACAGTCGCAGCCTGTGACAGTGCGCGCGAAACATTGATCTCGACAAAGAGTGATTCGTTGTTGTTCGGCAACTGTAGAATTTCTCCGAGAATTTGACTCATTTCGCCGGTTCTCCCCATGGCGGTTGTGCGTTCAGTTTAAAACGACACGAAATTTCGAAACGCTCAAAACGAGGATGTTCATATGTGACAACCCCAAGACGACAGTCTCGGCTCAAGTTTCGTTTGAGACCCCAGTTTTCTTTTTCCGCATCGTACAAAATCCCACTTCAAATATCGTTTTGGTAGGGGCCGCGCGAACGCGAGCCCCCTCTGCCACAAATTATGACGTGCATCACCGGGAGTTCCGGCGTGCTAGGGACAGGGCCTGCCGAAGTGCAATGGCGAGCCCGTCCCTGTGAAGGCCATCGGCCTTCTTGATCACCGATTGACCCCGCCCAGGTAAGTATACCTTCAACATCTCAACATCTCGATTTTATGTTGCCAAGAATGAACACCCAACTTCAAGAATGTGGGCCTAATCTGTACACGTGGACTCGTGAGTGTTTGTGTTCGACCCTCGATTCCATCTCAGCGATGAGGGGGCAAGCTTCTACTGAACCCCAAGCTACCACAGCCCAACAAGCAGCATCATACCCCCCCAAGCAACAAAGTTGTTTCACTCCTGCCACTTATCGCTACTAGGCCCCACTATTCAATCTCCTTCGCACGCGGCCTCTCACAGCACTCGACTCCACACAATTCTTCAGTAGCTTTAACAGTTCCATTTTTACCATATTCCCGTAAATTGCTATGATGGAAGGAAGCGATGATCAGATTCTGGATTGTTCAAATCCAATCTCCACGGCGGTAAATTCCGACTCGGCGCGCAGCATCACACGACGGGCGTACGCGCGCGTGGGGCTGTTGGGGAATCCCAGCGACGGCTACAACGGCAAAACTATTTCCTTCTCCCTCGCGAACTTCTTCGCAGAAGTCACGTTACAGCCTTCGCGAACCATCCGAATCAAGCCGTGTGCGAGCGATGACATCGCCGAATTCGCGTCGCTTAGCGACCTGGTGCGGGCGTAGCCTTGGAACGTGTGATCCTTTCGTTCCCGTCGCGGTAGCTCGTTGCCGAGACGGCGCGCTGTAACCGAACGTCTGTGTGCATCCTCCTTGTTATAGTCACGGTCGTTGCAATCGTCGCGATCGTCCCAACTCTCGCGAGTGTCGAAAACGTTGCGAGTGTCGCATATGTTAGCAATCGACATTATAAACTTCCTATCTGCTAGTCTTTACTGACACGCCCCGTCACGTGTCGTTGTCCCCCTCGTGTGTCTTGACTCTAGGGGCGGCACAGGCGGATCAATCCAAGAAGCAGCGGCTTGAGCACGCGGATGGCGGCGTTTATCTTTTAGCGTCGCTGTGCACGTGTGTCCACGACTACTGCCAGCAGCACGGCGTTGACTTGCCACAACACGACGCCTTCACTCTCTCCTACTCCACCAACATTCCTCGCCAGGTAGGGTTACCAGCATACCTCGCCAACAATGGTTACCAACTTACCTCGCCAGGTAGGGTTACCACAAAGGTATCTCGCCATGTGGTTCTCCATCCAATACCAAATCCTATGAAAGATTTGGGTTACCACCATCACGACAATCATCATTACCACCATGACCATCATCATCATCACCATCATCATCACCATCATCATCACCATCCCCAACACCACCCCCACTACAGTACCTGGCGTGCATTCAGCGCTCTTGTCTCCTTGACCCTGTCTGTCCCTTCCGTTCATTATCTTATCGCATGCTCTCTCTTTCGGTTTCCCCCTCCCCCTTCCACCAACCAATCAGGTGGGCCTGTCGGGATCCAGTGCAATCATTGCTGCCGCCCTTAGCTGCCTACTCCACCACTACCACCTCCACCACGCCATTCCCGTACCTGTGCGCCCGAACCTCATCCTCGAGGCTGAGAGCAGGCTCGGCATTGCTGCGGGCCTGCAGGATCGGGTCATCCAAACCTACGGTGGACTGGTGTTCATGGTTAGTACTACCGCCTGAATCAGCTTCACGGTGTTCATCGTGATTTGTGCCATATGTGAAAGTTGGAATTGGAACCAATGTTTGCATTAGGGTAGAAACTAGCATACATAGGAGCAAGAGGAGGTTGGAAGGGAAGGGTGAATAGTGATCAAAGGTTGGTTGGCCTCACTTGGGAAGTGAGGCAACCTTAGGTTGGGTTGGCCACACTTTTTGTAAGGTGAGGTGGCCTGAGGCCCACTTGGGTTGGGTTAGCCTCACTTGTGGGAGGTGAGGCAACCTCAAGCCAAGTGGGTTGTATTTGAGGGCTCCACCACAATTGGGTGGATTGGCACCCCAAAGTGCAAGACTACACCCAATGTTGGGTGTAGTCCCAACCCAACTGTACACCACGAATGGTGTACAGTCACATGTGTTGCATGCTAGAATATATATTTCTAACACCATATCAAAACCCCTTTCCGGTTCCTTTGCCTGGGCGTTCTCAGCTTAAACGGCCTCCCCCTTCTTCTCACGCTTTTCCCTTCCTCCCCCCATCTAGACACACACGGCTACGGCATTTACCAGCCCATGGACCAGGCGCTCTTGCCTCCTCTGCAGATCATCATCTTCCCGGCATCTACCAAACCTGGCTCCCTCACTGCCTTGTTTTGCTGCCCTCTCCTCCCCCATTTCCCTCAGGACTTCAACAGCGAACACCTAGAGACACACGGCTACGGCATGTACCAGCTCATGGATCCATCCGTCGTACCTTCCAAGTGCAGCATAGTTCCATTTTCCCCTTATACTCGCTGCCTTCTCGCCCGCCACCCCTCACGACTTCAACAAGCCACATCTAGACGCACATGGCTTCGGCGTGTACCACCCCATGGATCCAGCGCTCTGACCACTCATATGCATAGTCCGACTTTCCCCTCACGCTCACTACCTTGTCGTGCTTGTGTCTCCCGTCCTCCACCCCTCAGGACTTCAACAAGCCACATCTAGACGCACATGGCTACGGCGTGTACCACCCCATGGATCCAGCGCTCTGACCACTCATATGCATAGTCCGACTTTCCCCTCACGCTCACTACCTTGTCGTGCTTGTGTCTCCCGTCCTCCACCCCTCAGGACTTCAACAAGCCACATCTAGACGCACATGGCTACGGCGTGTACCACCCCATGGATCCAGCGCTCTGACCACTCATATGCATAGTCCGACTTTCCCCTCACGCTCACTACCTTGTCGTGCTTGTGTCTCCCGTCCTCCACCCCTCAGGACTTCAACAAGCCACATCTAGACGCACATGGCTACGGCGTGTACCACCCCATGGATCCAGCGCTCTGACCACTCATATGCATAGTCCGACTTTCCCCTCACGCTCACTACCTTGTCGTGCTTGTGTCTCCCGTCCTCCACCCCTCAGGACTTCAACAAGCCACATCTAGACGCACATGGCTACGGCGTGTACCACCCCATGGATCCAGCGCTCTGACCACTCATATGCATAGTCCGACTTTCCCCTCACGCTCACTACCTTGTCGTGCTTGTGTCTCCCGTCCTCCACCCCTCAGGACTTCAACAAGCCACATCTAGACGCACATGGCTACGGCGTGTACCACCCCATGGATCCAGCGCTCTGACCACTCATATGCATAGTCCGACTTTCCCCTCACGCTTACTACCTTGTCGTGCTTGTGTCTCCCGTCCTCCACCCCTCAGGACTTCAACAAGCCACATCTAGACGCACATGGCTACGGCGTGTACCACCCCATGGATCCAGCGCTCTGACCACTCATATGCATAGTCCGACTTTCCCCTCACGCTCACTACCTTGTCGTGCTTGTGTCTCCCGTCCTCCACCCCTCAGGACTTCAACAAGCCACATCTAGACGCACATGGCTTCGGCGTGTACCACCCCATGGATCCAGCGCTCTGACCACTCATATGCATAGTCCGACTTTCCCCTCACGCTCACTACCTTGTCGTGCTTGTGTCTCCCGTCCTCCACCCCTCAGGACTTCAACAAGCCACATCTAGACGCACATGGCTTCGGCGTGTACCACCCCATGGATCCAGCGCTCTGACCACTCATATGCATAGTCCGACTTTCCCCTCACGCTCACTACCTTGTCGTGCTTGTGTCTCCCGCCCTTCACCCCTCAGGACTTCAACAAGCCACATCTAGACGCACATGGCTACGGCGTGTACCACCCCATGGATCCAGCGCTCTGACCACTCATATGCACAGTCCGACTTTCCCCTCACGCTCACTACCTTGTCGTGCTTGTGTCTCCCGTCCTCCACCCCTCAGGACTTCAACAAGCCACATCTAGACGCACATGGCTACGGCGTGTACCACCCCATGGATCCAGCGCTCTGACCACTCATATGCATAGTCCGACTTTCCCCTCACGCTCACTACCTTGTCGTGCTTGTGTCTCCCGTCCTCCAACCCGCAGGACTTCAACAAGCCACATCTAGACGCACATGGCTATGGCGTGTACCACCCCATGGATCCAGCGCTCTGACCACTCATATGCATAGTCCGACTTTCCCCTCACGCTCACTACCTTGTCGTGCTTGTGTCTCCCGCCCTTCACCCCTCAGGACTTCAACAAGCCACATCTAGACGCACATGGCTACGGCGTGTACCACCCCATGGATCCAGCGCTCTGACCACTCATATGCATAGTCCGACTTTCCCCTCACGCTCACTACCTTGTCGTGCTTGTGTCTCCCGCCCTTCACCCCTCAGGACTTCAACAAGCCACATCTAGACGCACATGGCTTCGGCGTGTACCACCCCATGGATCCAGCGCTCTTACCTCCTCTGCAGATCATTTTTGCGGCCAATCCCAGCGACTCAGGCCACGTGCACAGCTCCGTGCGAGCCAGGTGGCAGGCGGGTGACGTGGCAGTGCGCCAGGCCATGGCTGACGTGGCAGCGCTGGCAGAGGAGGGGCGAGATGCGCTGGTGGCACGGGATTGGGGGAAGCTTGCTCGGCTGATGGACCGGAACTTTGATCTGCGCAGGTATGGTTTGCTCAGGTGACACTAGCCCAGGTGTGTTTTGGGAGTCAGGTACAATCGGAGTGGCTGGTTTACCTCAGTATTGGGGTAAGCTTTGTCGGAAATCCCCTCTTGTGTCACCTGCTCCTGTCCCTTCACTCCCTGCTGCCCTCCTCTTCTCATCCCTGCTTCTGTCTTGTTCCTGCTCCCCTGTTCCTTTTTACCTTTATATTCAGTGACAGCTTGCTCGGCTGATGGACAGAAGCTTTGATCTGTGCAGGTACGGTGCGCTTGTGTCAGGTGGGCATGGCAATGTGAAGCAAAAAGAAACACAAAGACACACACTTTTGTCCTGCCTTCTCATCCTCCCCTCTCCACCTCTCAGGCAGATGTTTTGTGGACGAGGTGCTGGGGGAATTGAACCTGAGCATGGTGCAGTGCAGGCAGCACGGGCCGTGGGGGCAGCAGCCAGTTACACCCTGACCCCGTACATGCTTCCTCCCTCATGTGCATTCTCAGGCAGATGTTCGGAGACGAGGTGCTGGGGAAATTGAATCTGAGCATGGTGCAGGCAGCACGGGCCGTGGGGGCAGCAGCCAAGTTCACGGGCAGTGGTGGTGCCGTGGTGGCATTCTGCCCTGAGGGCGAGCAGCAGAGAGCGATGCTGGATAATGCATGCAGAGAGAAGGGGTTCTGTGTGGTGGATGTGCAGGTGGCTCCTGCTGTGGATTTTGAGGGAGAATGCTGCTGAGGAGGTGGACTAGTGGCCCATAAGTGGATTTTCTTGCCGTGGCGTGGGGAGGAGGTTAGCAGGGAGAAGGGGTTCTGTGTGGTGGATGCTCAGGTTGCTGCTGCAGTGCAGTGGGATTGAGGGGTTGATACAAGAACCAGCTCTGGTGGCACTCCGTCCTGAGGGGGAGCAGCAAAGAAAGAGGCAGGTGGAGGCTTGCATAGGGAAGGGGTTTAGGGCAGGTGGCTGCTGCTGTGGGTGTACATGTGCCTGCTCCTGTACAGTTGGATTACGGCTAGTCAGTAGATCTAAGGTATCTGTGGTGAAGAATTGTTTCTGTAGAATACAGTTAGAGATGATGCCGCCCATAGGTGCCTCGGGGGCCTGCAACGCCACCAATGGATCAGCAGGAGGAATGAATCACCGCCCAGCCTCAGAAATCATTACATCCATTTTAGGCTTACCCAGACATTGCCTTGCCTACATCAAGGCTGAAGGAAAGGCGCAGCAGAGAACCATCACATGAAATGAGAACCATCAGCAGAGAACCAATAAGCCCATGCAACGGGCCTGCATGCTGCAGCAGAAGGATCCAATAGTTGAACTACCGTGTGACCCAACTGCCACCATGACCACATGAGTCAATCAGACGAACATGAGAGTGAGAGATTCCATTTGAGTCCGGTCCACACTGTCCAGTCTAAAAAAGTCATGCACTGGCAGCAGTGGTCGTGGCCGCCATGCCTTGCAGCTGCTCCATGCGTCTGTTAACAAGAGCTAGCTTCTCCTCCGCTGCCTCCGCCTGCTCCACCTCCTCCACCCGCACTTTGAGTGGACTCAAAAGTCATGCAGTAGTCGCAGTGGTAGCAGCCATGCCTTGCAGCTGCTCCATGCGTCTGTTAACCAGAGCTAGCTTCTCCTCTGCCTCCTCCGCCTGCTTCCTCACTCCGTCTACCACTGCTGCTGGCGCCTTGTCCACAAACTGAGGGAAGAGGGGAAGAGGGGAAGAGGGGCAAGTGGTAAGGACAGACGAAGTTGGGAGAGGGTGAGAGAAGGTAAGGATGGGGAGTTTGGGTTTGTGTGCGCCTCCATTCCCTCCGTCACTGCTGCTGGCGCCTTGTCCGCAGAGAGAAAAGCGCATGAGCGTGCTCCTGGTTCTGATAAGGAAGCTTTGGAGGAGGAGGAGGAGGGGCAGGAGTGGGGAGCTTTGGCTGGGGAGAAAGAGGAGGCAGGGGAGGAGGGGAAAGAAAGGGCAGGGCCAAGGGAGGGGATGTTTGTATGTGCCCTCACTCTCTTCCTCCAGGGTGAATGAAGGGGAGGGAGGGTGGGATCGGTGCACTCATTTGCAACGCACCTTTTTGGAGGAGAGGCGGGGGCGGCAGGAGGTGAGATCGACAGTGAGCTAGGTCTGCTTCTTGCCCAAGCGCTGCAGCAACCTCTAGGAAACACATGTGTGAATACGCCCACTGCGTTGCACATATGCCAGTAAGTGACTATCTTCTCACCTTTTTGGAGGAGAGGCGCGAGCGGCAGGAGTGGAGATCGGCTGTGAGCTTGGTCTGCTGCTTGCCCAGGCGCTGCAGTGCAGCTCCTTGTGAGGCACACGTGTGGCTATAGGCGTTGCTACCCACTGAATCACGCATATGCCAGTGGCTCGCTGCACACCTTTTTGGAGGAGAGGCGCGAGCGGCAGGAGTTGAGATCGGCTGTGAGTTTGGTCTGCTGCTTGCCCAGGCGCTGCAGCTCCTTGGGAACGTCCACCATGTCCGCTATGGGCAGGTACGCCTCCAGTCCCTCTGCTGCCACCACATGCACGCTTGCTGCCGCCGCTGCCTCGTCTGGGATGAGGTGGGGGGAAAGGAGGGGTTGAAGGAAGGGACAGGGTGAGTAAATGGAGGTATGACGCGGACGGGGTTCTTTGGCGTGGAGAGAGGGAGGGGTGAGAGGGGTGAGCGAGATGCGTGGCAGGTGAACGGGGCTGCAGCTCCTTGGGCACGTCCACCATGTCTGCTATGGGCAGATATGCCTCCAGTCCCTCTGCTGCCACCAGAGGGGTCACATGCACGCTTGCTGCTGCTGCTGCTGCTGCTGCTGCTGCTGCTGCCTCGTCTGGCATGCGGTGGGGTAACGGAGAGGAGACCTGGAGGTGTGGGCTACAATGGAGTCACAAAAAACATGTTCACCATTACACACTTGGGTGTGTTCCAGCACAGATGATTAAACAATCACTCAATTGCACGGGCAAAAGTTTCATGATTGCAACCCCTTTTTGCTGCAAAGTGGAGAGCAGCGGCATCAAGTACTTACCTCTTGACGTTTCCATGAATTCCAGGGCAGTGATGACAAGATGACTCACCTGGTTGTGCTGACGTGATGTGCAGAGAGGCAGGGTCTACTCGAGCAAGCAAGGCTAGCACATCCCTTTCCCCCTGCTCAATAGGAGTGGAAGGTAAAGGGGATCTATGGATGAAATGCATACATGTGAGTTGAAGGAAGGAAGAACATGACACACACAGCCAGCACACAAATTCCCCTTATTCAAAGCAGAGAAGGATAGGATAGCGAGGATAGGATAGGATAGGATAGGATAGGATAGGGTAGGATAGGATAGGATAGGGCACGCACCTGAATGGCAGGAGAAAGCGCGGGTGCAGCAATAACAGTGGCGGCTATCTTCTTAGCCGGTTCCACTGAGTACTCCGCCCTCACATTGCGGATGGCCCTCACCTGCATGTGCAGGGCAGGGGAGGGTGGGGTTAGAGGGGGGGGAGGGGGTAGCATGATTGTGTGCACTGAAGCTGCCTGCCCTGCAGCAGTCTTCTTAACGGGTTCCACTGAGTACTCCGCCCTCACATTGCGAATGGCTCTCACCTGCGTGTGGGGGGGAAGGGGGCAAGGACACGGGTAGGTGTGATTGCCCTGCAGCTATCTTCTTAACCCGGTCCACTGGGCGCTCCTTGGCAGGCCAGCAGCAGGCCAGGGCGCGAGCATGGGGGAGGGCAGAGAGGGGGCGTGGGGCAGCGCCTGTCAGAGCTGCTCGGAGGCGAAGGGCATGAAGGGGTTGCCTGCACTGAAGGGCATCAAGGGGTTGCCTGCACTGAAGGGCATGAAGGGGTTGCCTGCACTGAAGGGCATGAAGGGATTGTCTGCACTGAAGGGCATGAAGGGGTTCTTGGATCTTCTCACCTGTGCTTCTCTCAGGCTGCTTGCTTCTGCTCACCAGTGCTTGAAGGTCATCGAATTCCTCCTGCGCCTGTGCATCGCGGGGAAGGCCAGCAGCGGGCCAGGGCGCGAGCATGAGCGAGGGCAGGGAGGGGGGGTGGGGCAGCGCCTGCCAGAGCTGCTCGGAGGCGAAGGGCATGAAGGGGTGCAGCAGGCGCAGCACGGAGTCAAACGCGTATGCCAGCACTGCCTGCGCCTGCTCCTGTGCATGTGCATGGGCCTCATCTTCTGGTGCACCTTGACCTTCGTCCCCACTCTCACTGCTGCTCTCGCTGCTGCTGGAGGAGCGGAAGCCGCTGTAGAGGCGGGTCTTGCTGGCCTCGATGTACCTGATGGGACGGAGAGGGATGCAAGGAAACGGGAAGGATGACGAGAAGAATGCAGAACCAACAGACATTATGCAGGACTCTACAAGAACTAGAAGATTAGAGCTAAGTTCAAGATTAAGCACAGTATATCTATCTTATCTTAACCGTAGCTTTGGAGCGGCTCAAAGTAGGCATTAAGTCCATACCAGTCTGCGAAGTCGCTCCAGAAGAAGTCGTAGATGCGCCGGCCTGCTGCGTTGAACTCATACGCGATGTATGCCTCTGTCACCTCGTCCACCAAAGTGTGCAGACGGGAGAGCTGCAGGTGAGGTGAGCAATGCGAGCATGTGAACGTCTCAAAAGCGACTCAGGTGAGGTGAGCAATGCAAGCATGTGAACGTGAGGATCGGGATGGGTTAAGAACAAGGAAGTGTGGGGAGTTAAGGGTATGTACGCTACATTCATTCAGTCTCGGCCACATGGGAGATAACAGCTAAGGTAAAGAAGAGTCGAGGCAACAACAGAAGCGAAGCTGAGCTGATAGCATTCCATTGTGCGGCATGGGACAACAGCAGGGAACTCACCAGCCATCTCTCGGCCAATGGGAGGGCAGAAAGCGCCTCGGGAGTATCAAACTGCCACGTTTGAGTAGAAGAAGACAGACGATTAGACGGGGAGGGAGAGGGGGTTGATTGACTGTTCAGAGAGGAGAGATGAGGTGGGAGGAGGAGCGGATCAAAGCGAACAGTGTCGTGGGTATCAGAAGGGGTGAAACAGGGAGGAGTTTTAAGGTGCATCAAAACTCGTCTCATTTCACGAAGGGTGTGGGATGGAGGAACTAATGAAAGAGAACAATGTCCTGGGAGGAGTCCGTCCGAAGGGACACTAGCAGGGTGGACGACTCTTGCATGGCCCTGCTTTCACCCTCCCACACTTTCGCCTACCCATGCTTGTTGCCTTCTGACTCATCTCCAACGCACTACACACACACCTTGACTTGCCCCAGCCGCTGCCACTGCTTCTCGTCGTCCTTGCTAGGAAGGTTCTGCAGTATGAACTTCCCCGCGTTCCATATCTTGTTCACAAACGCCCTGTTGGCGCCCAGGCGCTCCATAGACAGATTCACGTCCTGCTTGTAACGAGGATGGATGCAGAGATGGCGGAGCCAGAAACGAGCGAACCATCAAGCAAGACGAGATGAGATATTGGCCAAAGGAGCTGGAGCCACTCCAACTAACAGCAACATAAATATATCCACCAGAGAGAGTTAGTAGTATCTTCTTTGCTCTGAAGAGTTTACCTGCTTGAAAAAGGGCAGTTCACCTGGCCAGGAGTGGTGCCAGTGGCGAGGGTGTATCTGAGGGCGTCGGTGCCAAACTCATTGATAGTGTCCAAAGGGTCAACCACGTTGCCCAGTGACTTGGACATCTTGCGACCCTGCATGAGGGGTTGAAGGGGAAAGGGAAAGGGGTTTTGTTAAAGCCCGCGGCC